ATATGTATATAAAATGAGTATCAAAAATTTATTTTTTATACATTTTTGTACGTTAACGTTTAATAATCAATTCAGAAGACAATTTGTGACTTAATAGTAAATAAAATAAAATTCAAATAAATTCTACCAAATGCGCCAAGTAACAAATTAATTTATATACCACATCATTCATTGTATTAAAATAACAACTATTTGTTGTCAAATTTTATGACTTCTTATAATAGTTTGTCAACAAACAAAATGAGAATTATAATATTAAAAAAAATTGCAGGATTAATAAACAATCAAAAAGTCGATTGAGTTTTTACATTAGTAATTCTAATACAGCAGAAGAGAGATTGTTTAGTCTAAATATCAAGTGACTATTTGAGTTAATATGCGTATTAATAAATGGCGATCATACTTCATTGTATCTTGTAGCTTATATGTGAGTTATAATTCGATATTACTTTTTAGTTGATTTAGTAGCACTGTTTTAGTGCTTATGCCGAACAGAATTGTCATCTAAGACAAAACATGTCATCTAAGACAAACATGTTTAACCATACCAGCTCATTAAATATTTTCGATCTTTTGAGGCTGTTAAACACTTGTTTGTAGTTGGAAAAAAATGTGTATAAATATGTATTCAAAGTTGATATAGTCGTTTTAAGCCCCTATTGGTGTTAACCAACTATTTTAAGTATTGTTTTAAGCACTTTATTAAGCTTAATGGAAAGATTTTAATACCTCACATCTAGCAACGAGATAGTTCAATTACTGTTTTAGCTTTTCGATTGCATTATTTTTGGTGGTTTCGCTAGTGTTGCTCAAGATTCAGACTCATCTGCAAGTTTAAAAGTATATTAACAGCGATTATTTTACTCCTATCGAAACGCAATGTTTCGGTAAGGTGTTCGCTTTACTTTTCTAGAACTTGGTTTGCCACGGGTGAGGATATTCCTTATTATAGTAAATTATATTCTTTATGACAGAATATATTTTTAATTTTAGGATATTTTGCTGATTTTATATATTGTAAGTTTTTTGTCTGCTGATAATTTTTTTCTCTATTGTAGCTGATATTGTTATTGTTATTATATTATGTTTGAATGCATATACTATTATTATCAAAAACGGGATTAGACATATTAGACTGTTTCTTTAAGTTCAATTTTTTCAATGAAAGACAATAGGGCTTAGCTTTCCCAGTTTTAAGTCTCTATATGTGCTATTGTGAATATGATTAAATATAAAGGTTCTTTGAGAAATGTATTTATTTTTATATATTAATTTTATCTGTTAATGGATAAAGAA